CAATTGCCTCATATGCACGTGAAAGCTGCACAATGGATAAGGAAGACCAAAGAATTGATGCCTTTAAATTATGGTGTTGCTGAAGAATATGGAATATACCATGGACTGCCAAAAGAACGAACAAATCTGTCTTGGAAGAAGTACAATCAGAATGCTTCTTAGAAGCAAGGATGGCAAGACTATGTCTCACATAATTTGGACATGTTATCAGGAGGGACCAGTCCCTGGAGAAGGACATCATGCTTAGTAAAGTAGACAGTCAGGGAAAAAGAGGATGACCCTTAACGAAATGGATTGACACAGTGGCTGCAACAGTGGGCTCAAGCATGGCAACAATTGTGAGGATGGTGCAGGACTGGCAATGTTTCATTCTGTTGTACATAGGGTCGCTATGAGTTGGAACTGACTCAATGGCACCTAACAAGAGCAACAACAACAAGCATTTGAATGGTAATAAAAACTTTATGGGTAAACCATGTATATTTCCCAGTTAAAATCATTGGCTTTGATGATGTTAGACTTAAAGGAAACAAAGTTACAACCAAGTTAGTAATTGAAATTAATAAAATGATGACAATATTAAGTGCTTGTTGTGAGTTTTAGGCAAATATTTTTGACATATAAATTTTAACTTAAAGAAAATTTGGCACTTTTCCTGATATGTTTTATGTAATTCATAATATATTAAATAAATTCTTTTTTGTATTTTTTCTTTTTTTATAAAATAGAAACAAATCCTTGGGCGCTTTCTATGAATTTTAAAATCGTTAGTTCACTGGAAAACCATACTTAAATTATTTAAACCAAAGATTTTAAAGGTAAAAACCTTAGTTCTTTTTTTATCTCCCAAAATCATGTAGCCTGGTTTCAACTTAGGAATTTTATTTTAATGAGACCTCAACCCCTTGTCTTCGAGGCAGATTACACAAAGAATAAATTAACCCTTTAACTCAGGAATTAAAGAAAATTTTGTTATTTTAAAGCAAGAAACCTAATTCTTGCTTTATATGTTATTTGATACTAAGAGTTCTTAAAATTTTCATAATTTAACCCGTTAAATTTATTCAGACGGATAAAACTTTGATTATATCAAATATATTCCCTTTTTGATAAACCTTTCATGCACCTCTTTAAGTTTCAGTAATGAACATATTTATCAGCAGACCTATATGTATATATGTGTGTATATATATATATTTTCTCTGTGACATAAAAAGCAAAAGAGTATAAACTAGGATATTAACTCAATTTAATATCAGTAAGTAACCTAAAGGGCTTGGAAATTACCCCTTTTCTTTAAATAAAACACATTTCATATAATATTTAGCTTAAGTTACTTAAAAAGCTTTTGTTTTTAAGATGACATGCTATAACCAGAAACCAAACCTGTTGTCGTCAAGTTGATTCCAACTCATAATGACACTATAGGACAATTGTCCCATAGGGTTTCCAAGGAGCTGCTGGTGGATTTGAACTACTGACCTTTTTGGTTAGCAGCTGAACTCTTAACCACTGCACCACCAGGGCTCATAGTATAGAATATAAAAATCTTTGTCCAAAGAAATTCACTTTTATTAATTTCTAGAAATATTTAGACTATTAAACTTATGTAAGTGTTTATTTATTGTTAAACCAGTCATAGTATGTTCCTTGAAGATATATTGAAATCTAGTTTAATAATACCATCTAGAGGTAGGAAATTATTATATTTTTATAATCCTATCTTCTGCATGCTTTATAGGATCCTTTAGAGAAATAATGTAGAATATTTGTCCTTTTTTAGTGTATTTTTTAAATATACCAATTTATATTAAAGTTTTTGAAAGTAGTTATTAGAAGCCACACTAAGCAGTTTTCCTAAGACTTAAAAGACTGCCTCATGAAAAGAAAAAACAAAAAACAACTACTAGTCACAGCTTCCTGAGAAAAGACAGAAAAACTTAGATTCAAAATGAGTCAGAAAAATTACATAAATTTATTGGTCCACGAGGGCAGCTCAACAACCAGGCTTATATATTATTATACAAGACAACCACATGGGGCATTCTTTTGAACCTAATTCATTTTGCCAGCTAGAAACCTAATCTCTTATTTTAAGCATATTGGTTTCTCTAACTGGAGAGTATGCTCAGTGTCCATATTAGTATGGATTTTAAATGGGAGAAAGGAGCAGGGCTTTGACATTGTAGCTCCTTGTTTTGTTAATTTGGATACAGTAGCCTGTAATGAAGCAATTCTGCTTTCTTGTTGTTTCTTAGAAGCTTCTTAATCCAGGAGCCTTTCTGCTCTAATTTTATTGTGCAGAATGATTAATTCTGACATGTCAAAAGATCCCCATATGGGCCATTGGTCCTTAAGGCTATCCTCAGTGATTTTATCTAAAAACAAACGGGTAGTTGGATTGTAATGTTTATACATATAAGCAGCAGGAGTACCTGCGGGTGGTCCCACTACATCTTTAGAGCTAGCACTCCCCATATTTACTAAGGTAGTAACCACACATGTGAAAAACAGTTAAACTTTGCTCCGGAGTCTTTCACAAAGGAGGAAAACACACCTGGGCATTTAGAGAAAACAAAACAAGTTCAGATGGCTGGACCAAACAGCAATTCAAAGTGAAAGTACCTAATGAACTCATCAAACAGGCTTAATAGTGAACAGAAAATAAAGAGACAAAAGGCTGTTAATAAACCTCAGAGGACTTCAATGCAAAGAGAATGAAGGCTGGTCCAAGAGGTCTTACCTAGAGGCAACCCCCAAGAACTGGGGAAGTGGATCAAGCACAAAGGTCTTGTGTAGGTGCCAATGCTCTAGGTTCATGGTCCCTTGAGGTCTCAGTAGGCAAGTTACTTTTGGATCCCACTTATGGCACCAAAAATGCTGATGGTAAGAAAACTTGTATTCTAATGGAAATAAAGTAAAGATGTTTACTAAGGGTTAAAAATCAGATCAAACCAGGAACTATGTGGCTCATGAAAATGAAACTGCAAAGTCTGAGGCACGATAATCACACAAACATTTTTATAGGGTGTAGACAAAGAGCGGGGGCTACAATATTCTGATTGTTTTTCAGGCAACCAGGGAAGTTAGAGGCAGGCTTTCTCAAAGCAGGGGCTTGTCAATGATTGGGGGGTAACATATAGGTGGATTTCAGTGATTGGTGACATCTTAGATTGAAGGGATACTTGCAGGTAGGGAGCTACACAGAAGATCACAGGACATGACATGGCATGCTTTTCTGGGAACTTGCTATGAAACTGCTTTTTCAAGCATGCCTTTTCTGGAGGTCAAGGATGACAAGACTTCATCTCACATACTTTGAACATGTTATCAGGAAGGACCATTCCCTGGAGGATATCATGCTTGGTAAGGTAGAGGGTCAGTGAAAAAGAGGAAGACCCTCAATGAGATGGATTGACACAGTTGTTTCAACAAGGGGCTCAAACATAGCAATGACTGTGAAGATGACATAGCACCAGGCAGTGTTTCATTTTGTTGTACATAGGCTCACTATGATTCGGAACTAACTTGACGACACCTAACAACAACAATTATAAAGGAGATTTTTTGATAATACTGTGTGTCAAGATCCTTTGGGAACAGGCTGTAGACATCCTGCATCTGCTTGCCGTTTGAGGAAAAGACCTTCTGGGAATAGGCTGTGACATCCTGCTTCTGCTTGACCACAGAGAAAAATATTTCCTTCAGGGTATATTTTTAATGGTGACTAAAGGTTAAGCACAGGAGAGAAAAACTGCTATTTTAAAATGAGGTTTTTTCTGAGGCTTCAGCTAGGGTCCTCTACTTATACCAAATCCCTCATATAATTTCGGGGTTCTCTCTCTCAGATGTCCATTGTTGCCAGTCTCCCAGCTCTACTTTGTCATCCTAGTGTGCTATCTCTATCTTCCTGTCATTTCTTAATTGGATTCAGAGTTCTACATGTCTTAAGAGTTCCCCTACACTCACACCAAATTATTTTGTGAACAATACAGACTTTAATGAAGATTTCCTGAAGAACCAAAAGATTGGGGCTTATATCACACCCCTCATATTTAACAACTGCAAATTCCAATTAGACTTTTTTTTTTCTTCTATGTTTCTTTTATACAGCAATTTATGGGAAGGGATGGTTTTCCTTAATTTCCTTATTCTCTCATGCAAATCCCTGTTCTCCTAGGGTTTGACTTATCTTTTGTTTTATAATACAGAGAAATTATATTCAGCTCTAGAGTCTGTCTCCATATTTACATACACAAGCCATGGGAGTGTTCTGCAAAACAAAGGATCATCCAATAAACAGGACACACCCTTTAGAGAAGGCAATTGGGATTATAAATAGAAAAAAAAAAAGTATACAGTATCATGGAGTAATGTTAAATTAACATGTTTAAGGAAATTATTTTTGGCTTCTTCAAAGTATTGATTTCCTGCTTAGTACATAGATTTTTAAAAAAATTAAATGTTGACAGAACCTTTATAAAATTTATAAAAATGGGATTTGAAAAATAAGCAGAAACCAGGTAAAAAAATGAAGGGAAGATTGTTCCAGCCATGGTCCTGAAGTAAGAGAGGTAGAGCTTCACAAGTTTGAAGAATTTTTAAAAAACAAAAAGCAGTGTACCTAGAGCAAAAGATCAAGGGGAAGAGTGATAACAAGGAGGCTGGGTAAGTAGGCTGTATTTTGGATTTTATCATAAAATTTTAGATTTTATCCTGAATATATTGGGAATCCATTGAAGGACTTTAAGCATAGGTTAAATAGCATGTCTTACTTATCTCTAAAATGTGTTAAAAATGACTAAAGAACATTAAAAATAAACTCAATGTTTAGAAAAGTTTTATTTTGATATGATAATAGTATATTACCTGATATAACAGTATTTATTCTGATATGATTATAATATATTTGGTTTCTTCATCTGAATGTGTTTTAATTTATATTTTTAATTGCCTATAAGGACATGTAAATAAATAAGTAATGTTATTCATTATTAAAGGTCAGCTTTAGGAAGCAGTACTGTTTCTAAGTCAAGTGTATCAACAACTGAATCAATAGCAGAAGACCTAGAAGAACCATCCTATAAACGAGAAAGATTGGCTAGTTATACAGGTAAAGAAAACACACTCATTTATTTCAGTAACAGTCTATTATCTAGCAAATACACTTATTATATATCAGTTACTTGAGATAAAAGAACTATGGTAATGATTTCAAAATACTGGCCCATGGAGTAGCTACACGAGAATTACCAGAGGAGTATGTATATTTTTTTTAAAAGTTCCCAAAGTGATTCTTTTGCTTTGCACAACCAGCCTCAGGAATCACTGGCCCTGTTTTAAAAGGGCTCAACTTATAACTAGCGAGACAAATAATTCTGATACAGTGTGATCAATGTCATAATAAGACATATGCAGGATATATGGGAGCACTTAGAAAGCAGTGATTAATTCCTCTGAACTGAAAAAAGAAAAAGACTTCACAGAGAACATGATCAACTTTTGAATTAGGTGTTTTAAGATGAATAGGAATTCGTTGGAAGTAGGGGAAGACCAATACAGGCAGAGGATAAAATGTGAAGCAATACAAAGGATTATGAAAGTAAAGATACAAGAACAAGGAAATAATGGATGATCAAAAGTACTGGAAATTTCAACATTTTTTACAATTCATAACATTCATCATGTTGTGTAACCATCATGACTATCTGTTGGCAAATGTTTTGTTATATATATACTTAAACGACAATAAAAAATTTAAAAGTGCTGGAAGAAATAGGTAGTTCCTTGAGGGTCATTTGCCTTGGAGTACAGCAAGGATGTCTTTCATTTGAGATGATAATGAGGGATTGGTGAACATATTGAAGGTCAGAAAATGATATTTGTTGGACTCTTCTTTTTAGTACGAGGAGCTGTAACTGATAGGAATGCTTTTGACAGGTAATGGAATACTCAGCCAACATTAACTTACACAAATAAAGACTTATTTTTCTCACATTAAAAGAAGTTAAGAAGCAGGCAGTTTTTGGCTTTGATTTTTTTTGACTTAATTATGTCAGACTCTGGATTGGCAGTTTGCTATAATCTTTTATTATGCCTTTTCTTGCTTCTTGTCTCATGGTCTCAAAACACCTTTTTCCCAGCTCTGGACATTATATTCATATTAAAAGCAGAAAGACGGATAAGTGGGTAGAACCAGTCACATCCTCCTCATTTATCAGGAAAGTAAAAGTTCTCTCAGAAGCCTTCCTTGGTCTATATATTTCCACTTTCACGTTAACTATCTAAAGCCACCTGCAGTGTATGACCCATCATAGCATTTCTGTGACTAGGAGGAAAAAGACAAATTGAAAATAACAATTAGTAAATGATTTTTATTAAGTTATGTCTTTTAGATTTACGAGTTGTGAGGACAATACTTGAAAAAATTGTAACAAAAGAAGACTTGGAGAAGAATATAGAGATAATACTCACAGAGACAGAAACACTGAGATTTTTTGACCTGCCAACAGTCATGGTCTCCCTGGAATCTGAAGAAGCTGAGAGAGTAAAGTAAGTATGGTTCAGTTGTCGACGTTGCTTTTGTAATTTAAATGCTAAATCAGGGTTCTTGTTTCTGTGAAAGGTTCTTTGGAATTCCTGGATAAACATTGGGGGTTATGTGTCCAGTGAAAGTATATGTAAAGTTATGTGTTCATGCTGTATTGCATTTTTCTAGAGGAAGAGGCCATAGCTTTTAAATATTTTTAAAAAGATAGATGAATGAATAAGGCAAATAATAAAAGAAGTAAGCGAAGCTAACAAGTCTCTATATAAGTTTTAGTATTCTTTTACTCCTATAAAAATTATCAATTTAAAAAAGAAAGAACAGACTTTTTACATTTAAAACTTAAGAGGGGGAAATATGTTATGGGAAATAATTTAATTCACTATTTTAGAGCAGATTTTTCTATTTCTCTTTACTAATGAATATAAGTAGATTATTAATATAAGCATTCAGATTACTTAGCATCAAATATCATTTGGATATAATTCATAGCACTAAAAGAGTCCACTAAATTTTGGGACATGATCCCTATCCAATTATAAAATATGTGAGAATTGGGTACTATACAATGTAAAGCAAAATAGATACATTGGAGGGCTTGTGCTGGGAGCAAAGGTTAATATTAACACAGGGATCTGGAAGCCACTAGTAAGTCTTGGGTTCCCCACAGACTGAGGGGGCTGAAAGAGAGATTCCTATATTAAACTAGGACCTTCAAAGGGCTCTTAAGTTGTTCTTGGTCAGTAGGGTCTTCTGGCTATTATCAGAAACAAACAGAAATCTCTGGAGGAAAACATGCGCAGCTTAGGCTGTTAAGGTTTCTTCAGATTGAGTTTGGTAAAAATACACCAAACCAAGACATTATGAGTGAGAGTAAACAGAAATAACAAATCATAGATTTAGACTCTGAGGACTATGGAAATGGTATCAGATTTAGAATATAAAATATATGTGAAATATTAAAAGAAACTTAACATTTAAAATTTAGCATTTCTTTTAATAATATTAGTGAAATAAAAGCATTAAAACATGATTAACATTAAAAAACTATCAAAATAATGATCCTGATTCAGAAAAAAAACTGTGTGTGTGTATTTGTTGAAGTTAAAAAATAAACATTGGTTTTAAACATATATTTGACATAACTGAATAGATATTTAATGAATTGGAAAGTAGATCTGAGTAAATTACAAAAGAATGAAGCTTGGAGAGACCAGAGGATATAAAATATGAAAGAGAAGTTAAAAAAGATATTGATAATAGAATGAAGGTCTAATATACATCTACTCAGTTTCAGACAGGCAGAATAGAAAGAATGGAGGAGAGATACTATTCAAAGAGAGTGGGTAAACTCTTTCCTAAACCTTTGAAAGACACAATTCCACAGAAATAGAAATAAATAAAAAGAAATCCACAAAAAAGAAATGTACCTGGTGCATTCTGCTGACACTCCAGAACACCAAATATAAAAAGAATTTTTTAAAAATAGAAAGGGGAAAAAAAAAGAAAAGAAAGTAAAAAGACATATCACCTACAGAGAAGCAATTAAACTGACAGCAGTTATTAGGGATAAAGAGGATCATTTCATAATGATAGGAAAGTATGACGGTTATAAACTTGTGTTCTGCTAATAAACTAACATGAAAATATATGAAGCAAAAACTGGAAATTTGGTAAGACTAACACCAGAGTAGGCAATTTAAACACACCTCCCTCAACTATTGATAGGTTGATCATACAAAAAAAATTAGTATAAAAACCCATTGCTGTCAAGTCGATTTCGACTCATAGTGACCCTGTAGGACAGAGTAGAACTGCCCCATAGGGTTTCCAAGGAGAGGCTGGTGGATTCAAACTGCTGACCATATGGTTAGCAGCCAAGCTCTTAACCACTGTGCCACCAGGAGCCCAGGTCCATCAGACATAAAAATTAGTATAGATACCCAAAATGTGAAAAAAAAAAATTTAATGATTGTATGTGGAACTCTGCACTCAATAACTAGGGAGCACACATTCTTTTTAAGCAAAAATGGAACATCTACAAAACTCACCCATGCACAAGACCGAAGGAAGTTGTCAAAAATTTCAGAGGTGGTAACCATACAAATTAAATTCTCTGACCACATGCAATGAAGTTAAAAATCAGTTACATAAATCTCAACTAAAACATACACACACATTCATCTACACATTTGGAAATCGAAAAAGCACATTTATAAATTCCTCATGGATCAAGAAGAAATCATAATGGAAATGAAAAAAAAAAAACTCAGAACCACACCACTGAGAAAATAATACGTATTTGTAGGATGCCATAAAAGTAGTACTTTGAGGGAAATGTATAGCTTTGTCTGTTTTAAATTTCATAAGATCAATGTGAATATAGTTTTACCTTATTGTTGATGGTGAATGAAGGTCGTAGGGGTGTTGGGAGGTATACTATAAAAGAGTGCTTTGAATGTAGCTCAATGCAAAATCTTTTCTAATGATATTTTTGAACTCTCACTTCACTTTTCAGTGAAAGTAATTGTAAGGGAAAGGGTAATGCTGTATAAAGAGATGATATATGTGGTAATAAGTATTTTTCTTAATGAGTTGAGTATACTTTATTTTTTTACAGCCAGAGAAACAGGAATTATGAAATTCTTTGTAAAAATAGAGCAGGCAATGATTTATATGTTGAAAGGATGATGCAGACTATTAATGGCGCACCAAAGACGAAAGAAGTTCAATGTGACAAAGTCATAATGGAGGACAAAGGTAATCCATGTTTTAGTCTTCTTAATAAACAAGACAAAACAACAACCATTGCTGTCAAGTTGATTCTGACTCATGGAGACCCCATATGTTACAGAGTAGAACTGCTCCATAGGGTTTTCTTGGCTGTAATCTTTATGGAAGACATTTGCCACGTCTGTCTTCTGCAGAAATGCTGGGTGGGTCAAACTGCCGACCTTTAGGTTAGCAGCTGATTGCAAACCACTTGTGCCACCCAGGTCCTACAGTCTGCTTAATAAACTACCCTATTTTAATATATTTTCTTTGAATTAGTCAATCAACAAATAAATGTTGAAATATATAAAACAAAAATAGAAATACAAGGAAAATTTGGCCACACCACTACAGTAGTTGAGAACTATGATATCTAACTCTCAGATTTTGACAAATAAGTTAACAAGTAATAAATAAGAATACAGAAGGTCTGAATAGCATAATTATCGAGCTTAGTTTTTATATACTATGTGGTAGAACTTTATACTCTTGAAATGTTCGCGAGACATTTATAAAAACTAATTTTAAGACTAATATCAGAGTAGGCAATAATTAGTCTTATAAAAACATTTATAAAAAATGAAACAGGAAAGGAATAAAAATGATACACTACAAAAAAAATCAAACACAAAAGATGACAGTAATGGAGGAATTGAGAAACAAGAGATGGCATATAGAAAATAAATAGCAAAATGATAAAAATAAGTCCTTCCATATCAGTAATTACTTTAAATGTAAAGGGCTTATACTGTCCAATTTAAAAGAAGAGATTGGCAGAATAGATGAAAATATGATCCCACTGTATGCTGTCTGCAAGAGCCTCACTTTAGATCCAAAATAAGTTTAAAATGAAAAGATGCAAATAGTAACCAAAAGAAAGCTGAGATGTCTATACTAGTTTCAGACTAAGTAGACTTAAGTGAAAAATTGTTACAAGAGACAAATAAGGACATTATATACTGAAAAAAGATTAAATCCTTGACGAATGTATAACAAATTATATGAAGCAAAATTGACAAAATTGAAAGGAGAACTAGTTCTGCAAGAACTGTTGGAGGCTTCAGTACCTCACTTTCTGTAATGGACAAAACAACTATACAGAAGATCAGTAAGGAAATAGAAGACTTGAAAAACAATATAAACCAATGAGACATAACAGACATACAGAACACTCCATGCAAAATCAGCAGAATGCACATTTTTATCAAATTCACATGGAACGTTCTCCAGAATGGACCATTATGTTAAACCACAAAGTAAGTATCAATGAATTTAAAAAGATTGAAATCATCCAAAGTACCTTCTCTGACCACAATGGAATGAAACTAGAAATCAAAAACAGATGGATAACTGGAAATATCACAAATATATGGAAATTAAATAACACACTCTTAAACAACCAATAGATCAAAGAAGAAATTACAAGAGAAATTAGGAAATACTTCAGAATGAATGAAAACATACCAAAACTTATGAGCTGCAGTGAAAGCAGTGCTTAGAGGGAAATATATAGCTACAAATGCCTCCATTAAAAAGAGAAGAAAAATCTCAAGTCAATAACCTAGTTTACACCTTAAGGAGTTAGAAAAATAAGAGTAAATTAAACTCAAAGCCAGCAGAAAGAAGGAAATAATAAAGATTTGAGTGGAGATCTACAAAAACGAAAGTAGAAAAACAATAGAGAAAATCAACACCACCAAAAGTTGGTTCTTTGAAAAGAGCAATAAAAATTGAAAGATATTCTGTGTTTATAGATTGGAAAACAATTGTTATGATGGCAGTACTTCCCAAAGCAATCTATAGATTTCAATGCAATCTCTATCAAAATTCCAATGGAAATACCGATTCTCAGATTCATATGGAATTTCAAGGGGCTCCAAATAGCCAAAATAGTATTGAAAAAGAACAAAGTTAGAAGACTAACACTTCCTATTTTAAAACTTGCTATAATTCTACAGTGATCAAAACAGTGTGGTATTGGCATAAGGACAGATATATAGACCAATGGATAGAAATGAAAGTCTAGAAATAAACCCAAACATCCACGGCCAATTGATTTTTGACAAAGGTGCCAAGAATATTCAATGGAGAAAGAAAGAATAGTCTTTTCAACAAATGTTACTGAGACAACTGGATATAAAAGAATGAAGTTGGACCTTGTCTTAGTTTCTTAGTACTGCAGTGACATAAATACCACAAGTGGGTGCTTTAAACAACAGAAATTTATTTTCTCACTGTTTAGGAAGCTAGAAGTCTGAATTCAGAGCACCAGCTCTAGCAGGAGACTTTCTCTCTGTTGGCTCTGCAGGAAGATCCTGTGTCTTTCAGCATCTGTAGCCCTGGCTTTCCTCGGTTCCTTGGTGACCTTCACATGGCATCTGTCTTCCCCTGTTTGTTCTTGCTTGCTTGTTTCTGTGTCTGTGCTGCTTCTTATAGCACTCAGAAGTGATTAAATTTAGGACAAACCCTACATTGATGGCCTCATTAACATAACAAACAAAATCCTACTTCCAAATACGATTACATCCATAGGTATGCCAGTTGCCCTCAAGATGATTCTGATTCATGGCAACACCATGTATTTCAGAGTGGAATTGTGCTCATAGGATTTTCATGACTGTGACCTTTAGAAAGCAGATCCCCAGGCCTTTCTTCTCATAAATACACTGTCATATATATGTGAAGCCTCAAAAAATTTACCTCCCTTTCTTCTTTCTCAAGAAGTTACTAAAAGATGTGTTCAGCCAAAACCAAATCATAAATCAAGAAAGAGGAAGACAAGGAATACAATTAATACAGATTTTGCATAGGAGTGAGGTGATAGGAATTCCCAGGACAATGGTGTGAGAGCCTAGGATTTCTGCTGTGCACCAAAGATAGAGGACAGTCAATTCACATTAGAGCAGTGTGTCTTGAGACTGATACATTGTTTACTGTCATCAACTAGATGCTTGCTGACGTACCATCTTTGTAACCTGAGGACAAAATGTTTAGGTGAATCTGCCAGATTTTTCTCTTATCTAGATTGCCTTTACCATTTCTAACGTAGTTTTTTCCCCTTCCATGAGGGCTGCTTAGATAAACTGAGAAACTCACTTTACCACACAGATGTTTTCTGTTTTACTCTACTCCTGGGAGCTGCAGAGAAGCTGTGGTGAGCAGAAAATAAAGAGCATAGAGCAGCCCACTTACTCTGACCATATTTTACTGGACATTCAGGCTTGCCAGGTGCCCTCAATAGGGGGAGGATTTATTCATGATTTTGCCCTGTGACTTCCCCATAAGTGATGTGTAAACTCCCAGGGAAGCTGTAATTAGACTATGGCCCAGAGATTGTTCTGACTGTCTTCTCCTGGGCATCCTCATCTAATGATGGAAAATTTCTTCTTTTTGTATATGTCTGTGTCTGTCATCTAGTGCTGCTCTAACAGAGATACCATGAGTGGATGGCTTTACAAAGAGAAGTTTATTCTCTCACAGTCCAGTAGGCTACAAGTCCAAATTCAGGGCATCAGCTCCAGGAGAAGGCTTTCTCTCTCTGTTGGCTCTGGAGGAAGGTCCACGTCATCAGTCTTTCCTTGGTCTGGGAGCATCTCAGCGCAGGAACCTCAGGTCCAAAGGACATGCTCTGCTCCCGGCACTACTTTCTTGGTGGTATGAGGTTCCTATCTGTCTCTGCTCACTTCTCTCATTTATATCTCAAAAGAGATTGCATTAAGATGCTATCTAATCTTGTCAACCTCATCAGTATAACCTCATCACAGTGACAAAATTTACAACACATAAGGAGGTCATATATAATCTCATCATAGTGATAGAGTTTGCAACACACGAGGAAATCACATCAGATAACACAATCATACAATACTGGGAATCATGACCTAGCCGAGTTGCTACTCATATTTTCTGGGGGACACAATTCAATCGATGACAGTCTGTGTTAGTGTTTATTTTTCCATTTTTTCAAAACTAGACAATATATTCTATAGGTATAATATAGAGGGTGGTCTTACATGAGATTCTTCAAGAAGATTCTGAGAAAAGATTTTGAGTGCAAATAGTTTATTCTTGAGGTAGTCCTGAGAAACATTGGTACAGGAGTGAGCAAGTGAGACAGGAAAGGGTAGGCAGCCAATAAAGGGTATGTTATCATGCAAATTACCTTTTTAGATAACTGGAATTCAGTCCTACCAGAGAAAACGGGGAGCTAGATTTATCCCACCTGAGGGTCTAACTTTCTAAGTCAGTATTTGAGGACTGAAGGCCTGGGTTAGTTCCCCGCAATTTCTGGCCTGATTTGCGGGCATCAAAGTAGCTCTGGTGGCCAAAGGTATTCCCGTGCAAAGAAATTCAGGTTGTGGCAGCTGGTGATTGTTCAAAGAGAGGTAAGGCAGAAGGAATATGGACAGGACACCAGCAGATCTGCTCCAGCAGAAAAAAACCTGAAAGAAAATTACTAATAATTTTAATTGAAAAAAATGTAGCCTTAAATTTACAGCTAATTTGACTTGCCAATTCTTCTTTCCAGAATAGATCTTACCAATCAGTAACTGGCACAACTAAATAAGCACAGACCTCCCCTGCAGGGGTAAGAGCAGACCAGAATGCATGCTTTCTGCAAGTGAGCAGATCTAACAAAAGAATCCAGAGGTGGCAGAGCTGCAGTTCCTTCTCTAAAACTCTCCTGTCAGACTAGCCATTCCCTTTCCCTGGGAATGAGTGAATGAGGGACAGAGAGAAGCCACAGGTGTTAATTTAGTTAAAATTCTTTCTGTAAAGGTTCACAAAAAGTGGGAAAAAGTTTCCCACCTAACAGTATACATATACAAATTGATGATGATGTTGGCATTTCAGATGAATGAATTATTCAACAAATGTATTAGTGCTCCTGGCTAACTTGTGAAAATACAGTTAAATCCTGTAGCTTTCCAGGTCTCATAAAGCAAGTTTCTTTTATATGTGTACTATGTTTCAATCAAAATTTTTTTAATAAAAATATATATGATATGAGCTAATTTTTATTTAAAAATATATGTGTTTGTTCATGTACAAATACATGTATATGTGAATCTGTGGAAGGGTATAGACCAAAATGTTAGCAGTTATTATCTCTGAAATATCGCCTGAGGGAAATACAAATGATATTTACCTTCCTTTTAGTTTTCTTTATTATCTTTTTTTTTTTTTTTTACAGCGAGCATGTCTTTTTACTTGGTCGAAAAGTAAAATTATTTTTTCTATAGATGTTACATAGCCAATTGCTACTCTTTTACTGTCTGAATTAAACTAAGAGAAACAATGTTTTAACCTTATAAAAACTATTTAGATATTTCTTAACCTCAGAAATGCTGAAAAACAGGTATCATTAGGAATACTTTTTTCTGATACTAGTTAGAATAAACTTTCTTTCATAGTATATAACTGTAAATTGGGAAGTCACAATCATGCATTGTTTTATTGTCCCTCTTGCACTTGATATTATGACATACGGTTTCAGATTTCCTGTTTCTTAGGTTCATTAAAGTTATTCAAGTGAACAAATGTAAAAATAGTCCCCAAACTAAAATTACCAATATTATTTGTTATCTTCAAATAAGAAACAACTTTGAATTGCCCCGTCTCTTTCATTGCTAATTTATAGCAATTTATATAGAAATTACTTTATCAGTGAATCATGTAACAATATATTCCTATATGCTAAACTTACTAAACTCTCAGTTAAAGGAAAGAAAAGAAAGTTAAATACTTTAATATTCAAAGACATGATTTCTTTCTAAGTTCTCTTCATGATCATGGAAATTGCATCCTTTCAATTCAGCAAAATATACTAGGTCTTTATTCCATGCATGACTTTGTTAGATGCTGCTAAGATAAGTTCATTAAAATAGAAATCTTATTATGAATTGTGAGTTAACATTCTTACCCATTAAAAACATCTTTAGTTACCAGAGGTCTTTAACACTGTCATTTTACATTAGGAAAATAATACCTCTGGCAATGAGGTAGTTGTATTTATTAGAACCAGATTGTTTTGATTTTCAGGGAAAAGAACTCCTTATAAAATCACTTTTCTTTAACTGAAAGCTTAGTAAGTTTAGTATGTAGGAATATATTGTTACATTGTCACTGATAAAATAATTTCTATACAGGCATTATAAATTAGCAGTGAAAGGGATTGTGGGCATTGTTTTTTATCTGAAGATAAACAGCATTGTCAATTTTAATTTGGAGACCATTGCTATATTTGCTTATTTGAATAAATTTAACTAACCTAAGGAACAGAATTTTTCAAACCACATGTGAGTGTGGCCTGAGTTTTAAAAGAGAAGATGATAACCATACTATTCCACAAATTTCTTCAGAACAGTCAGTCATTTTCCTAACAGTCAATCTTTTCACATAATAGGTATATCAGAAATTTTACGTGATAAAAATGGGATCAGATAATTCCAAATAAAAGAGATCTGTAGAATATGTTACATGTTAACCATAAGTAAAAAAAACAAACCAGTTGCCTTCAAGTTGAGTCCAACTCATGGAGACCCCATGTGTTTCAGAGTAGAACTGTGCTCCATAGGGTTTTCAATGGCTGTGATCTTTCAGATGGCAAACCCATTCTTACACTGCCAACCTTTCAGTTATTAAGTGAGCACTTAACTTTTTTTGCCACCCAGAGACTCTAAAAAGAAACATAAAAACCTTTGTTATAACATGGTTGTCCAGGTCCGTATCACCAAGGCAGCCCTATAATGACAGACTGCTAAGATTGTGCTGCACTTGCATTGGGGTAGAAGGGAGGAAGTTGAGGGTCAGGAAGGATGATAAGGATAATTTTTTTTATGCTATGGTTTATTTTATTTTTTATTGCACTTTAGATGAAGGTTTACAGAACAAATAGTTTCTCGTTAAACAGTACACATATTGTTTTATGACAATGGTTAACAAACCCATGACATGGCAACACTGTCCTTTCTCAAACTTGGGTTCCCTATTACCAGCTTTCCTGGCCCCTCCTGCCTTCTAGTCCTTGTCCCTGGACTGTTGTGCCCCATTAGTCCCGTTTTGTTTTATGGGGCTGTCTAATCTTTGACTGAATGGTGAGCCTCGGGAGTGACTTCATTACTGAGCTAAAAGGGTGTCTGGGGGCCATACTCTCAGGGTTTCTCCAGTCTCTGTCAAGCCAGTAAGTCTGGTCTTTTTTTGTGAGTTAGAATTTTGTTCTGCATTTTTCTCCAGCTCTCTCCGGGACCCTCTGTTGTCATCCCGGTCACAGCAGTCATTGGTGGTAGCTGGGCACCATCTACTTGTACTGGACTCAGTCTGGTGGAGCCTATGGTAGTTGGGGTCTATTAGTCCTTTGGACTAATCTTTTTCTTGAATCTTGTTTTCTTCATGCTCCCTTACTCCTGAAGATAAGGATAATTTTGAGGTATCCCTTAGGTGCAAACATATTTGTAGATGCTGATAGTGTGATGACTAAGGATCTCTTAAGGTGTCCTCATGATTTATTTCTTTATCCCCATTATTTCCTTCCTGCCATTGTTGTAAAACAATAGTAGGTTTTTCCTAAAGAGTCCCTGGGTGATACAAACAGTTAACATGCTAGGTTGCTAACTGAAATGTTGGAGGTTCCAGTCCACCCAGAGGGGTCTTGGAAAAAAGACTCGGCTATCTACTTCTGAAAAAAGAAAAAAATCAGCCATTGAAAACCCTATGGAGCACTCTATTGAACTGGTTGCTGGTTTAAATATTCTTCACTATGACGATATCCACTATTAATAGTTATGTATAATCTTAAAATATTGGAATATGGTTTAAAATAATTTTTACTTTCTGGTCCTTTACTTAGGCATAATGTCCACTGCTTGGGATTTGTATGACTCTTATAATGCTATGGAACTTTCATCTTCATCAGTAAAACGATCTACAATTGAATCTTGTAAGGCAAATGTACCGTCTAAAGAACGGGACCAAAGAGTACCAGGGAGTACTACAGAAAAAAGTAAGATTTCATTTGTATCAGTGTTTTTTTAATAATTGTTTTCATATGACATTTTTAATAAATTAATTTTTCAGGAGTCACAATGATTTCTTTGTGATGGAACATTAAAAATACAACTTTTACTCAGAAATAGCACTGTTAACTCTTTTATATTGTCTTGGATTCTGAACTGAAAAATTTATTTTTTCTCCAATACCTGTCAAGAGTTCCAAAGGTTCTGTCTTTACTGCTTCTTGACTTGCTCCCAAAGCTCTCTTTCATGCATACATGTGGGGTCTATAATTTTTTTTTCTTCTTTTTTTTTTTTTTTTTGTACTTTAGATGGAGGTTTGCAGAACAAATAGTTTCTCATTAAACAGTTAGTACACATATTGTTTTATGACAATGGTTAACAAACCCACGACATGTCAACATTGTCCCTTCTCAACCTTGGGTTCCCTATTACCAGCTTTCCTGTCCCCTCTCCTGACTTCTAGTCCTTGTCCCTGGACTGTTGTGCCCCATTTGTTTTATGGGGCTGTCTAATCTTTGGCTGAACGTGAACCTCGGGAGTGACTTCATTACTGAGCTAAAAGGCTATCCGGGGGCCATACTCTCGAGGTTTCTCCAGTCTCTGTCAGGCCAGTAAGTCTCGTCTTTTTTGTGAGTTAGAATTTTGTTCTACATTTTTCTCCAGCTCTGTCTGGGACCCTCTGTTGTGATCCTGGTCAGAGCAGTCAGTGGTGGTAGCCGGACACCATCTAGCTGTACTGAACTCAGTCTGGTGGAGGCCGTGGTAATTGTGGTTCATTAGTCCTTTGGATTAATCTTTTCATTGTATCTTGCTTTCTTCATTCTCCCTTGCTGCCAAAGGGGTGAGACCAGTGGAGTATCTTAGATGGCTGCTTACAGGCTTTTAAGAGTGGGGTCTATGATTTTTGAAGAACTCATAAGAAAAGGAATATATGCTAGCTCTGAGACTACTTGAAATGAAAATATTGTACATTGTAACACTGGTTTTTAATTGGCGTGATTTTGCCTCCCCAGGGGATGTTGGGAAATGTCTGGAGACATTTTTGGTTGTCATGATTATGTGGGCGTCTTATGGATAGCGGTACTACTAAAAATCCTTCAATACACAAGACAGCCCCACAACAAACAGTTACCCAGCCAAAATGTCAACACTGCCAAGGTTGAGAAACCCTGCATTACACCTTTAGATTTTAGTATTCTAAATTTTAAGATAAAATGTTATAGCTAAAACCAACACAAAATTATAATTTTCCGAATACACTTGGTAACATAAAAGAATTTTTACTAGTAAGTCCAGTTATAAGAAGTTTGTTAAATCCTCCTTCTGAATATTTTTGATTATATTAGTTTACTCTCTCAAATGTGGTATTTTGAGTCCTTTTATTATAAATTGATATTATACATTCAAAGCCTAGTCCTTACTTCAGAATAGCAATAACCAAGCAAGTTGATTATAAGGCAATTTTTGTAAATTAAACTAAAATGTGTCCACTCACTAAGTTTGACCCAAAAATAAATGTAACACTTAAGAGTCCAGTAAATCAGTAAATATTTTAAAATATCAAGTTTAAATAGAATTCATAATTTTCAGAGATCATTTACTATATTTATAACCAACTGTATTTCCTTAGGAGAATATAGATTTAGAAGACCTATAATGTGATCTATCATTGTTCTCAAGTTTAATATATTTTTTTAAATAAAAACTTTAGATATATCTTCTATATTCTTTTATTTATTTATTTGTTTTTCAATGATATTTGCAGTCATGTAGACTGTAGCCATGTTTTCCTGGAAGTTGTTTACAATGAAGATAAGTTTATTTTCCCAGAGGACAATGAAAGGGATGAATAAATTATTAATTATCAGTAAAGAAACATTACATTTTGTTGTTTAAGTGTGAATGTCCATATAGTGAATTTGCTTTTAGAAGCTACCAAAAACTGCTAGAAAAAAATAATTTTATCCCAGATTGAAACTTAACATTGGAACGTTAGGCTTGGATATGCCTACCCTACTGACTAACAAGGATTGTTGTGACATTAAGGGCATTGACCAACATGAAGGTCATTGACTTTATATTAAGATTGTAAGGCCGCTGAGCAACAAAAACATGCAAGTGGAAGGTCCCAAATGAAAAATAGATCTCAATTTGTGGGCTTTTGTTTCATGTATGTATGTGTGTGCTTTTAAACACAAAAAAGGGATGATAAAACCATATCCAATAACTATGGCAGAAAAATATACTTTATTTTAGTTTTGTGGCCAATGAGGCAGATAGGGGAGACTAGAACTAGAATAAGGAAAGAAATCGAAAACACAAAATTATGAGTAACAGAGCTGAATGATCAGATTTATTAAGAATGTAAAAGAACATTTTAGTAAAAACTATGATTAGATCATTTCTGTCTTAGTTATCTAGTGCTGCTATAACAGAAATACCACAAGTGGATTGCTTTAACAAACAGAAATTTATTCTCTCACAGTCTAGTAGGCTAGCAGTCCAAATTCAGGGAGCCAGCTCCAGGACAAGCCTTTCTGTCTGTGTCAGCCCTGGAGGAAGGTCCTTTCATCAATCTTTCCCTGGTCTAGGAGCAACTCAGAGCAGAGACCCCAGGTCCAAAGGACACATTCTGCTCCTGGCACTACTTTCTTGGTTGTATGAGATCCCACTGTCTCTCTGTTTGATTCTCTCTTTTATATCTCCAAAGAGACTGACTACAACCTAATCTTGTAGGTTGAGTCCTGCCTCATTAACATAACTGCCTCTAATTCTGCCTCATAACATCTTAGAGGTAGGATTTACAACACATAGGAAAATTATATCAGATGACAAAATGGTGGACAAACACACATACTGGCTACCGTGGCCTAGCCAAGTTGACAAAAATTTTGGGGGGATACAATTCAATCCATAACAACCCCTAAGAGTTGAGTCTGAGATTTTATAGTACAAAGAGAAAAAAAATAAATATAGTCAGTATTTGGTTTAAGAAGTATTTCTATTTCGTTTAAAGTCTGAATGTATCAGTTATATTTCAACCTTCTATGTATCATATTCAGTGAAAAAAAGGACCATCATTTTCATCTTTGAATGTAAGATAATATCTCAGTTCACATCAGAAAACTATATTCTCTCATAGACTCTTTTTCTTTTGAAATGAGACTTTAGGTTATTTTTACACTTAATAGACTTTAATACGGTTTTAGATTTACAGAAAAATTGACTAGCTAGTATAGAAAATTCCATATACCCACTCCATCTCTACCCTCCTACCCCTGGCACACAGTTTCACCTATTATTAATATTTTACATTAGTGTGGTACATTTATTACAATTGAAGTACTAATATTGATACATTATTATTAACTAAAGTCCATAGTTTACATTAGGGTTTACTCTTTGTGCTGTACAGCGCTACGGGTTTTGACAAATGCATAATATCATGTGTCCACCATCATAGTTTCATCCTGAGTATTTTCACCGCTCTAAAAATCCACTGTGCTCCATCTATTCCACTCTTTCCCCTCTCCACGCTCACCTGCATCTTCTCTCTTAACATATCAGTTATTAAGGAGCCCTGGTGGTGCAGTGGTTAAAGTGCTTGGCTGATAGCCAAAAGGTTGATGGTTCGAAACCACCAGCCTCTCAGTGGGAGAAAGATGTGGCAGTCTGCTTCCCTAAAGATTACAGCCTTGGGAACCCTATGGGGCAGTTCTACTCTGTCCTATAAATTTTTATGTTGTTTGCTGTGGAGTTCACAATATACATTTACAACTAATCTAAATCCATTTTCAAACAACACTATACTACTTCATGGGTAGTGCAGGTGCCTTATAACAGTCTTTCCAGTTCCTCCCTCCCCTCTCTGATAACACTGTAGCCATTCATTCCACTTATCCATATGCTATATTCAACCAATATCTCACTACTATTAGTACTTTGATGAACAGTTATCTATTAGGTCAATTTGGAATAAGAAAAATAAAATATTTTATTTTACCTTTATTTCTTCTCTGTCTTCTTTAAGTAGATTCTGATTTTTGACCTATATCGCTTTTTCTTCTCTCTGAAGAACTTTTTTTTAACATTTCTTACCAGGTAGGTCCACTAGTGACAAATTTCCTTAGTCTTTGTTTGTTTGAGAATATCTTTATTTCACCTTCACTTTTGAAGGATAATTTCGTTGGGTACAAGATTCTAGGTTGGTGTTTATTTTCTTTCAACACCTTAACTATTTCACTCCACTCTCCGATAATTCTTATCTTTATTCTTCTCTGGCTTCTTTTTTTCTGTTATTAATTTCAGCTCCACCATCTTTATCCTTTCCTTCAGGGATTCTGATGATATGAACATTAGATATTTTGTTATAGTCCCACAGATCCCTCAGGCTCTGTTCTTCTTTTTCTTCCCCAGACTATATTCTTTATGTTTTCAGATTGGGTAATTTCTACTGTTCTCTCTTCAGGTTTACTAATTCTTTCCTCTGCCCCTTCTATTCTGCTGTTGAGCTCATCCATTGAGGTTTTTATTTTGGTTATTATTTTTTTTAATTAATTTTTTTTATTGTACTCTAGATGAAGGTTTATAGAACAAATAGTTTCTCATTAAACAATCAGTACACATATTGTTTGACGACATTGGTTAACAACCCCACGACATGTCAACACTCTCTCTCCCTTCTTGATGTTGGAGGACCTTTTTTTTTTTTTGGTGAAAATATACATAGCCGAAGATACACCATTTCAAAAATTTCTACATGTACAACTCAGTAACATCAATTATATTCTTCCAGTTGTGCTGCTTTTCTCACTTTAGATGAAGGTTTACAGAACAAAATAGTTTCTCATTAAACAGTTAGTGCACATATTGCCCTATGACAATGGTTAACAACCCCACTACATGTCAACACTGTCCTTCCTCAACCATGGGTTCCCTATCACCAGCTTTCCTGTCCCCTTCTGCCTTCTAGTCTTTGTTATTTTGGTTATTATGTATTTTCAGTTCTAAAATTGCCATTTAGTTCTTTCCTTTGTTGAGACTTTCTATTTCTTTGATGCCTTCTATTTTCTTATTTGTTCCAAGTGTGTTCATAAATACTTGTTGAAGTATTTTTTATGATGACTGCTTTAAATTGTCACATAATTCTCACAACTCTGTCATCTCAGTGTTGATGTCTGTTGATTGTCTTTTTTTCATTAAGTTGAGATTATGATGAGTGATTTTTGATTGAAACCTGTACATCTTGGGTATTATGTTATGAAAGCCTGAGTCTTATTTAAGCCTCCCACTTTAGCTGACTCTGTTTTGTACAACTTCAGCAGGGAAAGTGGAGAGCACTGCCTCATTATTGCCAGGTGGGGTTAGAAGTCTAGGTTACTCCCTCAGCCTCCAATGACACCTGAGGAAGGGGTCTCCTCATTACTGATGGGCAGAGGTGGGAGTTCTGGCCCCCCATTAGGCTTACATTGATACCTCTCTGGCTGGGAGAGATAGGGGTGCCTAATTACTGCTCCACATGTGGCCTCCACTGACACCACAGATGGGAGGTTGGTCTCATTACCACTCAGTGATGAAGAAAGTCATGACTCTCCGCCAGACCAACTCTGACCACTCCAGTGAAAAGGGGGAGGGGCAAGAGTGAAATTCTAGGCTCTCAAGTGATCTCTCCACCAACACCACAAAGAGGAGAGAACTTTTGTTATGTCTAGTAGGAGTGAAAGTTCTGGATCCCTACTCAGCCTTGTCTGAAACCACTCACCACCATGCTGGTTGGCATGCCTTCTTTCAGCCTAGAAAGAGTAGAAGTCTTAACTCCTAACTCAGCCTTTGCTGGAGTGGGTGAGGGTGGGCCACCACTTTTTCTGTGGTGTTTGGTTGGAGTAGAGTGGTTATTGTCTAAAAGTTTTCTGTCTTTTTAGGCCACCCCTTTCCTGGTCCTTTGGTAAGAGAGAGCAGGCTTCTGCTGAGGCTTTTTGTCTTTCTAATTGGCGTTTCCAAGTTGCTAGCTTCTTCAGTTCCATGTCTGGGATAAATAAGGCCAAAAGAAAACCCAGAGAACACATCATTGAGTCATTTTCTTGGATCCTGAGGTCACTAGCTGCTCTGTTTTCTTCTTTCCACCTTTTAGAGTCTTCTTATGTTTGTTTTACATATAACGTTCAGGGTTTTTAGTTACATTTAGGAGGAGTAGGGAAAAGTGAATCTACTCCATCTTCACAGAAACAAAGTTCCTTTGATTCTGTTTTGAAAATAAGAGTTTACTAAATAGTGTGATAGAATAATGCCTCCCAAAGATGCCCACACACCAATCCCTGTAAACTATGAATATGTTACCTTATTATGACAAAAGGGATTTTGCAGGTGTGATTACATTAAGGCTCTTGAGATAGGAGATTATCACAGATTATCTCAGTGGACCCACTAACCACATGGGTCCTTAAAAGTGGAGAATCTTTCCCACCTGTGATCAGAAAGAGATGTAACTGCAAAAGAAAGGTGAGAGAGATACAACATTGCTGGCTTTAAAGATGGAAGAAGGATGTGGATGGCTTTTAGAAGCTGGAAAAGACAAGGAAACAACTTCTCTTCTAAAACCTTCAGAAAGGAACATAACCCTGTTGAGTTCTTCATTTTAGCTCAGTGACACCTGTGTCAGACTTCTAACCTACAGAACTTTAAGATAATAAATCTGTGTTATTTTTAACCACTAAGTGTCTTCTTAGTCATCTAGTGCTGCTATAACAGAAATGCCACAAGCGGATGGTTTTAACAAAGAGAAGTTTATTTCCTCACAGTCAAAGTAGGCTGAAAGTCCAAATTCAGGGCGTCAGCTCCAGGGGAAGGCTTTTTTCTCTGTTGGCCTTCTTCTCTTCAGTGTTCCCCAGGACTAGGAGCTTCTCTGCACAGGGACCCCGGTCCAAAGGACACGCTCTCTCCCAGCACTGCTTTCTTGATGGTATGAGGTCCCAAATTCTCTGCTTGCTTCCCTTTCCTTTTATCTCTTGAGAGATAGAAGGTGGTACAGACCACACCCCAGGAGAACTCCCTTTACACTGGATCAGGGATGTGACCTGGGTAAAGGTGGTGTTACAATCCCACCCTAATCCTCTTTAACATAAAATTATAATCACAAAATGGAGGCCAACCACACAATTCTGGGAATCATGGCCCAGCCAAATTGATACACACATTTTTGGGGGGATATAATTCAAACCATGACACTAAGTTTGTGGTAATTTGTTACAGCAGTAATGGAAAATTATTAATGTTCCTATAAGGCAATCATCAAATCGTACCTTTATCTAGAGACCAGTTGTCTTAGTTATCTAGTGCTGCTATAACAGAAATACCACAGTGGATGGCTTTAACAAACAGAAGTTTATTCTCTCACAGTTTAGAAGGCTAGAAGTCCGAATTCAGGGTGCCAGCTCCGGGGGAAGGATTTCTCTCTCTGTCGGCTCTGAGGGAAGGTCATTGTAATCAATCTCCCCCTGGTCTAGGAGCTTCTCAGTGCAAGGACCTCAGGTCCAAAGGATGCACTCCCCCCCGGTTCTTCATTCTTTGTGGCATGAGGTCCCACTGCTTCTCTACTGGCTTCTCTTTTTTATATCTCAAAAGAGATTGATTTAAGACACAACCTAATCTTGTAGATTGCTTCCTGCCTCATTAACATAACTGCTTCTAATTCTGCCTCATTAACATCATAGAGGTAGGATTTATAACACATAGGCAAATCACACCAGATGACAAAATGGTGGACAATCACACAATACTGGGAATCATGGCCTAACCAAGTTGACACCATTTTTTGGGGACAAAATTCAATCCATAACATTGCACACTTTGGCCTCCAAAAGTTCATGTCCTTGCCACAGGTAAAACACATTCACTCCTCATATCATAGCAAAAGTCTTAAATCAACTCCAAGTCCAAAATCCAAAAATTCCTCTTCATCTGTGCAATCTAGAATACAAGTTATCTGCTTCCAAAGTGCAATGGTGGAACAGGCGCAAGCTAAGACATTTCCATTACAAATGGGAGAAATTGGAGGGAAAGAAGGGATAACAGGCACCAAGCAAGACAGCAGAACACATTAAACTAGCTCTCAAAGCCTGAAAATAATCCTCTGTTCTCTGAGACCATTTAGGCAATGGCCCTGACCTCCAGGCTGTGGGTGTTAGCCACACTCTTTGGATTCTGGGTGGAGGCCCCTCAGCCCGGGGCTTCGGCTCTGTCTTTCAGGCCCACTGTAGCAACTTTGCTCCCTTAAATTTGGGCGGCCCCATTCTACTAGTCCATCTGAGTGGCAACTCTAACCTTTGAGTCCCCTGAGGTCGTGGCCTTACCTTTTGAGACTGAGGCAGCTCTGCTTCCTGTGTTCCTTGTCTCTTCAGTTTCTGCTTCCTGGTTCCTTGGCTTCTCGGCCCCTCAGGCCTCACCTGCCCATGCCTGCCCTACTGGGGCAAGTGTTCCAAAGCTCTTTAGCTCCACTGATAATTGCCTGGAGGCACTCCACTCTGCCAGTAAACTTTGGCTGTAAGGCACTCAGTTCTCTCACTCTGTGGGTCGGCTCCAGCATTGTCTCACAATTCTGGTTCTGCCAGTGCTGTTTCTCTGCTGCTTCTTCTTGCCAGCTGCACCATCTCCAGTGTAACAGCTATCCTTACGTCCTTCTGAGTCCTCACCAGAATTGTCTTTGATGTCCATAATTCCACCAACAGCCTCTTCAAAGCAATCTAAGGTTTTACTATTAGGCACTTTAAAACTCTTCCAGCCTCTACCTATTCAGTTTCAAAACCACCTCCACATTTTAGGTATCTGTTACAGCAGCACCCTGCTCTCTCTGTAGCAAATTCTGTCTTAGTTATCTAGTGCTGCTATAACAGCAGTAACACAAGTGGATGGCTTTAACAAACAGAAATTTAGTGTAGGAGGCTGGAAGTCCAAATTCAGGGTGCCAGCTCCGGGAGAAGGCTTTCCCTCTCTGTCAGCTCTGGGGAAAGGTCCTTGTCATCAGTCTTCCCCTGTCTAGGAGCTTCTCAGTGCAGGGACCTTGGGTCCAAAGGACATTCTCCCGCCCTGGTTCTTCATTCTTGGTGGCATGAAGTCCCCTTGTCTCTGCTTGCTTCTGTCTTTTATATCTAAAAGAGATTGACTCAAGATACAACCTAATCTTGTAGATTGCTTCCTGTCTCATTAACATAATTACCTTTAATTCTGCCTCATTAACATCACAGAGGTAGGATTTACAACACACAGGCAAATCATGCCAGATGACAAAATGGTGGACAATTGCACAATACTGGGAATCATGGTCTAGCCAAGTTGACAAACGTTTTAGGGGGACATAATTCAATCCATAATAACCTCTAAAATTTGAGTCTTAGATTTTGTAGTACAAACAAAGAAAAAAAACTATAGTCAGTATTTGGTTTATTTTATTACTGTGCATTATGGTTGTATTTTACAGATAGTGAAGCGAGTTCTCTAATGGATATTGAAAATGTAATTCTTGCTAAAATCCATGAAGATGAAGAAGACCGCTCAGATGCAATATTAAAATCTGACAAGTTTCATCAAGACTTATTTTTTATGGAACGGGTTTTAATGGAAAATATATTTCAGTCCAAACTTGCAGCTTATCGTCAGCTTCGTGTTTTAAAAGGTATTTAAAAAACATTACGTATAGACAAGCTCAAATAATTAAATAAATAAATGGGGTTATTACATATTTTTAAATGTAATTTTCACACTGGATTATCAGTTATCAACAGATAGGTTTATATACTTTTAGCACTAAACATGAGTTGCCGTAAGTACCAGACTAGGGAGCTGACATAGGATGATGTAGTTTCTTAGATTCAAAACTTCAAACCATCTATGGCTTTTTCCTCCTCCTTGTCCATGCATTTAATTTGTTGCATATCTTTGTAGTGTCTCTCATATTCAATTCTTCTTTTTTTAAAATTTTATTTTACTTTAGGTGAAAGTTTACAGCTTAAGTTAATTTCTCATTCAAAAATTTATATACATATTGTTTTTTGACATTGGTTGCAATCCCCACAATGTACCAGCACACTCCTTCTTTCCACCCTGGGTTCCCTGTGTCCATTTAGTTCTTGTCCCTTCCTGCCTTCTTGTCTTGCTTTTGAACAGGAGTTACCCATTTGTTCACGTATATTTGATTGAACCAAGAAGCACGTTCCTCACATGTGTTATTTTTTGTTCTATAGGCCTGTCTACTCTTTGTCTGAAAAGTGGGCTTCAGAAATGGTTTCAGTTCTGGGTTAGCAGAGTGTTTGGGGGGTCTTGGAGGTTCCTCCAGTCTCTGTCAGACCATTAAGTCTGGTATTTTTATGTGAATTTCATTCTGTTCTACATTTTTCTCCTGTTCTGTCCAGGACTCTCTGTTGTGATCCCTGTCAGAGCAGTCGGTGGTGGTAGCCGGGCACCATCTAGTTCTTGTGGTCTCAGGCTGGTGGAGACTTTGGTCCATGTAGTGTCTTAGTCCTTTGGGCTAATATTTTCCTTGTGTCTTTGGTTTTCTTCATTCTCCTTTGCTCCCAACTTGATGGGACTAATAGATGTATCTTAGATGGCTGCTGGCAAGCTTTAAAGACTCCAGACGCTACTCACTAAAGTGGGATGTAGAATATTTTCTTTATAAACTATGTTATGCCAACTGACCTAGATGTCCCCCCAGACTATGGTCTCCAGCCCCCCACCTCAGATACTCCCCCAAAGTGTTTGGATGTGTAGGAAACTTCTATGCTTTTGCTTTGGTCTAGTTGGGCTGACTTCCCATGTATTGTGTGTTGTTCTTCCTTCACCAAAGTTGGCACTTGTCTACTATCTAGTTAGTGATTTCCCGTTTCCTTCCCTCCCCACCCTTATAACGATCAGAGAATGCTTTCTTCTGTGCATAATCCTTTTCTTGAGTTCTTATAATGATGATCTCATACAATATTTGTGCTTTTGTGACTGACTTATTTCACTCAGCATAATGCTCTCCGGTTTCATCTATGTTGTGAGATGTTTCACAGATTCATCATTGTTCTTTATCATTGCATAGTATTCCATTGTGTGTATTTACCATAATTTGTTTATTATTCATCCGTTGATGAGCATTTAGGTTGTTTCCATCTTTTTGCTATTGTTAATAATGCTGCAATGAACATGAGTGTTGACTTAGGCTGGGTTCTCTAGAGAAGCAAAACCAGTAAAGCTTATAAATGTATATATAGAGAGATTTATATCAAGGAAGTAGCTCATGCGGTTGTAGAGACTGGAAAGTTCCAAGTCCAGGGGTTAGAATGGAGGCTTCTTCTGGCTCACAGGCTGTGAAAATCGATGAATGCCAAGATTGGCAGATAAACTGATAGCTGAAGTCGCAAGAACCCCAGAGGTCAGATGAACAGGGGGAAGCCGCAGGATCCAGAGCAAGCAAAAAAGCCAGAAAGTCTGCTTATATTCGGATGCAGGCCACACCCCCAAGGAAACTCCCTTTCAACTGATTGGCTACTCACAGCAGAGTCCATCATGGGAGTGATCACATATAAACACTGAGAATCATGGACCAGCCAAGCTGACACACAATCTTAACTATCACAGTCCACCCCTTGTCAACTTCGCACATGTACACATCTCCTTAAACTATACATAATTTCTGAATAAAGACAATTATAAAGTCATACTTGCACCTAACATGATACAACTAACATATGTACAACTGAAAATGAACTAGCCCTGTTTACATCTCGTATTTTATAAGTGAAGAAAACAAAAATATTTGATGTACACGTACAATGCAGAAATACAACAATTACAGTTCTTGTTTCTGCAACTGGTCATGTGGCTGTAACTGGTATTTAGAACTACCTTCTTCCACCACCCATTCTGTATTCCATTTGCCCTTAGCAAGCACCTCAGCTGGTTGTGGTTCTTTGCCTGGTGGAGTGACCCAAACCTTCATTCCTGAAGGGTCTGGGTCATTAGGAGTCATGTCAGAATTGGGTTGCTGTAGTTTTTCATTGACTTTAATCACCGGGCATGGTAGCACTAAGAGACGCCCTAAGGGATCTCCTGCATTCCAGACGTACTCTTCTTTACCTCCATTATGTAATATCAATCTGATTTCCTCTTGGTAATCAGGATCAGTCACACCAGCCAGTATGGCAACTCCCTTCTTTGCCTGTTGATCCAGAGACATAAGGAGCTCAAAGTGGCCAGGTAGCATTCTTAGCTTCCAGTTCAATGGAATCAGTGATGTGTCTCCAGGTAGGAGCATTCCTCCCTTTGGAACTAAGACCTGTAGACCTGCAGAGCGTGAGGTCATGGGGACTAGAAGCAATAATCTTGTGAGTGGGTCACTAGAGGTAATAGTGAGTGGTGCCACTCCCATTTCCACCCCTTGATTCCTGGACCCATGAATCCTGGCTATGGGAGAAACAGCACCATATATTGGATGCTGGTTTAGAGTATATACAGCCTCCTGGAGAACATTGCCCCAACCCTGCAAGGTATTGCCACCTAGCTGGTGCCATAATTGTGTCTTTAGAAGGCCATTCCATTGTTCTATCAAGCCAACTGCTTCAGGATGATAGAGAACATGGTAAGACCAGTGAATTCCATGAGCATGGGCCCACTGCCACACTTCATTTGCTGTGATGTGAGTCCCTTGATCTGGGGCAATGCAGTGTGGGATACCATGACGGTGGATAAGGGATTCTGTAAGTCCACTGATGGGACTTTTGGCAGAAGCATTGCGTGCAGGGAAGGCAAATCCATATCCAGAGTAAGTGCCTATTGCAGTAAGGACAAAATGCTGCTCTTTCTATGATGCAAGTGGTCCAATGTAATCAGCTTGCCACCAGGTTGCTGGCTGATCACCTCGAGGGCTCAGTGTTGGTGTCTGCTGCTGACAGATTGGGCACTCAGCAGTGTCTGTAGCCAAGTCAGCCTTGGTGAGTGGAAGTCCGTGTTGCTGAGACCATGCATAACCTCCATCCTTGCCACCATGGCCACTTTGTTCATGAGCCCATTGAGCAATGATGGGAGTAGCTGGGGAAAGAGGATGACTGTTTTCCACAGAACGCGTCATCCTATCCACTTGATTGTTAAAATCATCCTCTGCTGAGGTCATCCTTTGGTGAGCATTCACATGAGACATGAATATCTTCACTTCTTTGGCCCATTCAGAGAGTTCTATCCACATACCTCTTCCCCATAAATCCTTATCTCCAATTTTCCAGTCATTTTCCTTCCATGTCCCTCACCATCCAGCCAAACCATTGGTCACAGCCCATGTATCAGTATACAATCGCACATCTAGTGTCGTGGATTGAATTGTGTCCCCCCAAAATATCTGTCAACTTGTCTGGGTCATGATTCCCAGTATTGTATGATTGTATGCCATTTTGTAATCTGATGTGATTTCCTTATGTGTTGTAAGTTCAATCACTATGATGTAATAAGATGGATTAGCAGCAGTTATATTGATGAGGTATACAAGATTGGACAGTGTCTTAAGCCAATCTTTTTTGAGATATAAAAGAGAGAATTGAGCAGAGACACATGGGAACCTCATACCACCAAGAAAGCAGTGCTGGGAGCAGACTGTGTCCTTTGGACCTGAGGTTCCTACGCAGAGAAGCTCCCAGAACAAGGGAAGATTGATGACATGGACCTTCCTCCAGAGCTGACAGAGAAAGCCTTCTCCTGGAGCTGATGTCCTAAATATTGACTTGTAGCCTACTGGACTGTGAGAGAATAAACTTCTCTTTGTTAAAGCCATCCACTTTTAGTACTTCTGCTAGATGACTAAGACATCTGGCCATTTCTCCTTCCAAGCAAAGTGAACAAGCAGATGCACTACTTGAAGTTCTGCCCATTGAGAGGATTTCCTGTCACCACTGTCCTTCAGGGAGGTCCCAGAAAGGGGCTGTAGTGCTGCTGCAGTCCACTTTTGAGTGGTGCCTGCATATCGTGCAAAACCATCTGTAAACCCAGCAAGAGTTTTCTGTTATTCAGTCAGCTGATCATAGGAGTTCCCCATGAGGCCATAGGTGCAGACTTGGAGATGGAAGGTAATGTGACAGGAGTGGAGACCATGGGCATTTGGGCCACTTCCTCATGCAACTTACTTGTGCCTTCAGGTCCTGCTCAGGCCTGATCTCGTATATACCACTTCCATTTGATGATGGAGTGCTGCTGTGCACATCCAACTTTATGACTTTGTGGGTCAAACAACACCCAGTTGATGATGGGCAGTTCAGGCCGGATGGTGGCTTGGTGTCCCATGGTTAAGTGTTCAGTCTCTACTAAGGCCCAGTAACAAGCCAAAAGCTGTTTCTGAAAAGGAGAGTAGTTATTTGCAGAGGATGTCAGGGCTTTGCTCAAAAACCCTAAGGGTCTGCACTGTGATTCACCAGTAGGGGCCTGCCAAAGACCCCAAACAGCATCTCTATCTCCCAATGACACTTGAAGCACCATTGGATCAGCTGGATCATATGGCCCAAGTGGCAGAGCAGCTTGCACAGCAGCGTGAACCTGTTGCAGAGCCTTGTCTTGTTCTGGGACCCACTCAAAACTAGCAGCTTTTTGAATCACTTGATAAATAGGACAGAGTAGCACATCAAATGAGGAATATGTTGCCTCCAAAATCCA